TTTTTCCCCACCAAATATATAAGCATAGTGTTGGGAGGCTAGTTTTGTTAAGCATTTATACGACTTGCTTCTTTTTTTATATCAATAAGCAAAACACCATTTAACGATTTTTTCAAGGTAAGACACTTCATTTGGCAAAATAAATTCGGTTGAGACTAGGCGCAACTTCTCACTCACTCACCCACTATGGGGTATTGTAATTAGGAAGCTAAAAATGAGCGACATTACTCTTAATTGTCTTATTATTCCTAGTGGCCAGTTCAATGCTCTTTCACGCAATAAGATTGAGTTAACAATTACGATTCCCAGGAATACAGCAGTCAGCAGGCTCCAAATTGCAATTCAAACCGAGTTGGGACCTCCATTCAATAATGTTCCTCTTGATATTCGTCAAATTTATTATCCCGGAAGTGTGGACGAAAGGCGTATGCAATCACAGGCTTTGATTTCCGATTATTTCAATGAGGACCCTCCCGTAGACTTATACCATGTAGTTGCATCTCCTATACCACCCCCGCCTAACAATTAGATAGAAATTTTTTTTTCGTATCATGTATTTTATTAAATGTAATAATTTTATTTTCATAAAAATAAAGCAAAGGCGCAGTGACGCAATTTTTACAAGATATTATCTAATATGGGAGTATGGGTAATGTAGGGAATGAGCATACTTCAAGACTAAACAAATCCAAGCTGTTAATATCTTGAAAGACTTAAACCTTCCACGGGATGAGCTAGCGCATCCAATAGTGCGTTGTGTTCTAATACTCCAAATGCATCACATCTAGAAAATGCGTCAAATAATCCATTTTTTGCTTGTTCAGATAAATTAGGAAGGCGCCCGGTGAATAGCCTAAGAAGGATATTGCGATGACGAGCTAACCGAGCTTGATAAACTTTATCCCAAGCATCTTCACCAAAGTGGGCTATATAATCCCATCCAGTATACGGTTTACTAGGATCCCACCATTCATCATCATCACCATCTTCTTCTTCTTCGGTATCATCATCAGCATCATCATTGGTACCATTGCCCGTTCCAAATTCATCATTGGTATCATCATCTATCTTAACTTCGTCAACATCTTCCAATAGTCCTAGAGCCTTTAAAAATTCATATTCCCCATCCAGATTATTGCCGGCACTAAGATCAGAATTGGTTAGTAAGCTTTGATCCATAGCTAATGAAGATGCGCAGTTGTAATAGATTATGTTAATAATACTTATCTTTAATTTAGCGTTCTAGAGCCTCTTCAATTAAAAGCAGTAGTATTAATTGGAATCGTAAAATAATCACATGAAAACTGTTACCTGACCGAAGGCGCTAAGACAAATGATATCGGAAAAAATTCTTGTCGAAAGAATAGGGGCTATGCGACGTAATATTTGCATATATTATTTTTTTTTTTTATTCCGATAGATGATCCTAGAATAGACAAATTTTTTCCAGAATAATTTGACTTACCATTCATATTTTTAGCGAATTCCTCTCGATCATCACAGGATAGTGAAACATGTGAGGCAGGAGCGGAAAAATCTATTCCAAATCCCGCATATAGTTTGTGGCTAGAGGTTAAGTAATCTACTTTATAGATGTTTAAAATCAAATCGGAGATATTACCGTTCTTGATCCTTGAAAACTAATTCGCATATTCATTCAAGATCGCCTCTTCCTAATACAGGTCAATTTCAGAACGTGATCGGCAAATTAATCGACTGATGAAAATCAGGAGACTATGGAAGGTCCTAATGAAATAAAACAAGACAGATTCAGTGGAAGTAAGATATAACAAAGGTTATTATGTCTGCTAATATTTCATGTCTCGAAACACTTGCATTAAATATCCTTAAAAATTCATCCCCGGAAAAGATTTCAGAAGGTGTTAATGTTTCGGAACTAGATCCATGCTCATTATGCAACCAAGAGCTTTTTTTGTACGAAATAAAAAAGCCATTCACCATACTTACCTGTGGGCATATATATCACCGCAATTGTATTGAAAGTTCCATCGAAACTAGTCCATCATGTCCAAGACCCGATTGTAAGAAGGAGGTGGAATTAGAAGTTCTCAAGTCACCCGGAAATCTGAATGACAATGATTTAATGGATATATCACCATCAATATTTAATGACTCACCATTACTCCGAAATAGCTCTCAGAAAAAGCATTCTAATGATCCTTTATTTCCGGAAATGTCACCTAATAAAAAAGCTAGGAAACTGGATAAAAGGAACGACTCCCCCAAATTGAAAAAATTGATCGAGGAATTGACCTCTGAAACGTCTCAAGATCCAGAAATTATAGAAGTAGGAACTAGTGATTTCTCTGATCTATACAATGCAATCGTTAAGATGGAAGGTCAGGTAGAGATTACGAATCGAGCTGTTATCAAATCATACTATAATTTTGGAAAAGCAC